TATTTGAATCTAATTGGAGTCTGCTGCGCATCAAATTTCTTCTTTGTATTTGGTGGAATTCCCATGGCGTTGTTTATTACCATTTTCAAGACTCTGCTTATACTCTTCCCGCCCAAAGTTATTATGATCAACAGGCTTCTTTTAATGACACGGTAGATTTCTCTAAAATTAACTTCATAAGGAATAAAATAGTTTCATATAAAAAAGATGTGGAATTGAATGAATTAGTATTTTTATCTAGAGGGTAGGTCGCAATTTTAACAAAATGATACAGAACGAAAAAAATGAAAATATTTTCGCAAATATTTATTTCATGGGAATAAAATAATACGAACTTAACTGTAGAAAAATACGCCTTCCTATTACCAGAGAATCCACGTGTCTACATTTTGAAATACAAAACCACGTGACAAGGCCTGCGCAACAATAAACATTTAACCAGTTTTAATGATTCAATAGAATAGAAAATTTATTAAAAATATTTTTACATAGATAAATCTGAGAATGTGGTATTTTGACTTATGAACAAGGTACCTATTATGTTATAATCGTCTGAATTTTTATAAAACATTTATTCCATAAGAATAATTTAATATGAATTTTACAGAGGAAAGGTACGCCATTCGTTTACCAGATAGTCCACGTGTCAATATTTTCAAATGAAAAAAATATTATAGGAAAGCACTCTAGTCGAAGGAAGAGAAGGCTAATACGATCGTATCTATTCTACTGCGAATCATTTGTGTATGCGTCCTAACGAACTATATAATCTTGCATCCAATATAATCTTAATATACTGTATATACTGAAAATGATCACATTACAGCTGGCTTGTTTTAATGACTAGAATAGAAAATGCAATTATCTAGAATGTAAAAAGCACGTAAAAGTTAATTGGTGTTTCTATCTAGTATGCATGTACAAGCCCATACTGCCAATAAGAAGACATTTCATCTCGCTTTCTCTCTTTTCGACTAGAGCATTTCCCTACAGTCGGATTCGTAGTTAGTCTTTTATTTTATCATATAGACACATGGTGAACGAATAGCGTATCCTTCGACAGTCAAACCCTTATTTTATTTCTATGGAATAAATATTGCTGTTACTGCTGTATCTATTCTACAGTCAGACATTTTTGGAGTGAGCTTAAGCCTCTTTATAAGCTTCAATATATTACAGTCTTAAATGACAATGCCGAATATCTGTAGTGAGATTTCTCATGTTCGTCTGTCGTCATAATAAATGACAATTTATTTTCCTTCAAAATGTGGCGTCTGAGTTTCTGCTGTCATAATATGACTGACTGAAATATAAATACGTTTATCGAAATGTGTTTTATATACAAGAATAAGGAGGACATTTTAATATCTCGTGATATATTCTTTAGTTGTAAAATCTAAACGTATTCACGAACAGTATCAAAAACACCAGTGTCTTGAAACAACTTTTCTGAAGGCTTTTAATATATTTATCCATTCTTATATAGATCTATTTTCATGATGACAGACACTTGTTCGGTTCGATTCAAATCAGAATAAGCTGGGGACCATTTATTTATTTTTAAAATCATTTTTGATTTATGCCTAATAATTAGCTCTGTAGAATTTGAAGGAACATAATCGCACATACACCCTTGTGCAAATTAATTCAAACAACCGCTTTAGATTTCTTCCTTTCACCATACTCTTATGTTCAGACCCACTGGGATGACGGGGTGTAATAGAATTTTATTTTTTCCTCGGATTAGGTCATTTGCAGTGGTGTGCAGTAATATGAATCTCTTTTCGGGGTGTATGATGAAATTTGTTTGGCCTGGAAAAATATTGTGTCATCGGTGATTGCATCAGATTTTTATCACACCCAGACACTATTATCTCGACTAACGATTAGTTGTCCTACCGCCATTGTCAGCGATGGATTTTACTCCAAGGAAGTGTACGAAAATTGTAATGCTGTACGAACACACTAGAAAGCCTTACCAGTGAGCACATCAAAGTAATATCGACTGGCCCGGAAAGACTCCTGATTTAAATCCTATCGAGAATATATAGTAATTCTGCAAGGAACGACTTCGTGGAATGGATATATTAAGTACTAACTTGTGCAATGTGTCATACGTAAAAATAAATAGGGAAGCATACGAATAAAGTAAAAAATAACGGAATTCTTCATTTTGATTTAATTTATTTGCACAATAGTGTACGTTTATCGAGATTTGTTTTATATAGCAGAAAAGCGAGGACATTTTAAAGTATCATGATATATTCTTTAGTTATAAAATCTAAACGTATTCACGAAACTTTATATCTTGAAGCAACTTTAAGATTTCATCGATTTGGTAGTTCAGTGCCAATTCTAAATAAGAAATTATTTGATATTTAAAGAAAGAATAAAAGCACATATTGAAATATGTTTATTTATTCTTTTTAAAATTATCGCTGGAATTAAACTTGGAATTTTGTACATACCCAAGTAGGAAATTATGATGAAAAAGATGATCCCGTCAAAGAGCCAAAAATAATTGCTTCAGCAGACAACGTAATTGAGATTCAGCGCTAAGTGTGATTAATAAGAGATAGAAAAAAAATGTACCAGTATTTTCGTTCTCTCTGTCTGCAACATAAAAATGAAAATAAATACATACTTGTTTATTATATGGACAAGAGGTGCAGAGTGATTATGGCTATGGAATCGAACGAGTGCAAATTCCACCTACCACTTTCGATATTCATTTTAAATATTAATAAGTCGTTGGTTAGATCCAGTGACTAAACCCAAGGGTTGTGAGTTCAGTACCAGGCTACAGCAGTGGTAAACCAAAAAACTTAGAGAATTGAGTTAAAGGGAATTAACTGAAACATCGAGTAGAACTAGAACAATTTACCCAAGTGGATGAAATAAAGGATGTATCGAAGACATAAGTTTTATTATTAAGTATCCTACGTTGTGATGATAAAAGATTGCCAAAGAAAGGGGAACTGTTGTAAGAATTTGGAGGCATATTTACTGCAGATGATCTAGAGATAAAAGCACTTTCTATACATTTTCGTTGTAGTAAATTGTTTTCTCTTTTATTTAAAGGAGCATATTTTAAATTAAAATTATGGTCAGACACATTACGGTGAGTAACTGATCTATTGAATAAATTATTTTAAAAAAGATCCCTTTCGTGTTCATATAATCTTGTATTTAAAATCCTTGAGATTATTCTAGTGTTTTTATTCAGAAATTTTAGATTATAATTTTTTGTTTTCTATTAGTTAATTTTTTCAATAATTGTTTTAGAAGTCATTGCAACACAGTGGGTATGTGTGTTTGTGTGCGCGTGCGTGTGTATTTGTGTGTGGGTGTATGTGCAAATTTTCCATACGAGTCCCCCCGATATTATTTCTTACAAAATAAACATTATTTTAGTGGGGCGGTGGGGGTGAACGTATTTCAATTGATATACATTTTTTTAATCATTTCACCCCATGCAAAGCAGTAAATCCACTATGACACAGTTGGGTTACTGAGTGTGAAATAATAATAAAATAAAAACATTATTAAGAAGCGAGAACAATAGAAGAGTAATCAAGAATAACGATTGACATTGCATTTAAATTTTTGAAGATTAAAGTTGGCTGGATCCGGAATGAGGTTCCACAAGCGAGAAGTACGACAGAAGAAACTGTTAGCATAAAACTTACGGTTACATCTAGCCATTTCAAATGAAAATTGATGAGATCTTGTACTCAATCTTGTAACGCGCTTAAATTCATGTCTAGATACCATAGCTGAGAATCCATCATAGCAATTACCATGAAAGTATTTATAGAAAACGCACAAGATATCTACATTATGGCGGTGGGAAAGTGACTGAAACCGATACGTCAGGTTAGGGCCAATAATATTGCAGATTCTTCTTTGGATTTTATTAAGAATCTCTAAATATATAGCAGGAGCACCGGGCCATATTTCTCAGAAATATTCACAGTATGAACAAATGCTAGACTTATAAATATGTAAGACAGATCACAGAGAGAAATAAAACCTAGTACCACACAGTGAATCAATTGTCTCAACATACAAGCTAGCAATTGATTCGATATAATCTTTCTACTTTATTTCAGCAGAGAATTCTCACCCGATAAAGCGCGATGTGTAACTCTCTTAGAGGAGAGAAGCAGTCATGTTGATGGAAGGCAGAATGGGGTCTCTCAGATGATTAATGGAGAGAAGTTTCGTTTTTTTTCTTTTTATTGTTTAAAAACAAGCTATTCCTTGCCCCAGTTAACGTCAGATTGTAGGTCATTTATTATATCATCTGCTAATTTGACGTTATCGAACGGATCAGATTTACTAACTTGGACAGGTGAAATTAGTTGGGTCCTCAGAAGAGATGGTTGATATCTGATCCCATTTTTATTTTCTTAGTGTATTTATAATGTCGACTTTTCCCATCAAGGATACGGCCCCGATATGGGAAAAGGATCTACTCATTTGTCGGTCGTTAGTAATTTTATTATTTAAAAAAATCAAAATACAGTGATAGAAACTTAAACACTAGTAGCCCATAAGGTAACGTTTATAGTAATAAGGATTATTTATGTGTGTGTTTGATAGATTGACTAACATCCATGGAAATTATGCAAGATGTAATTTGGGAGAGTTGGATGCTTAAACTTTTTATTCAGTTATCAACGTTTCGGCCTGAAAGAGCAACATTGAGAGTATAGATAAAATCGAAAATCTTTTCTATGAATATCAAGAATGAGTTGGATTTGAAGACAAGCGAACCTCCTTGAGAAATAATTGTCAATCCTATATAGAAATGCTTAAACGATCAAACTCGCTATTATAGTTAGGCACAATCCACTATTGACAGGTCTTCGTACCTGAAACCAATCAATGTTTAAAAGATCCGCCACATTTCCATTGGATATTAAGAATAAATATGATGTCAAATCAGAAAAAATAAGCATAAATGATATCTGATGAGTTATTTTCTTTGTAGATACCTGAGATCAGATATGATCTGTAGAGCACGGCCTCAACGCTCATCGTCATATCTCGATCAAGAGAGAAACTGAAGAAAGATGCACGGTGTAGGTATAACCATATGTCTTACAACAATTGTGACCATCTAGAGATAGAACTAAGTGCTGTCTCATTCCCAGCCTTTTACGTGTTTTATTTTTTTTATCTTAAAGGATGTCAAACTCACAATGTATACTTAGTAAACCGTTTAACCACCAAACAGCAGGCCATGTGGCAGATGGTATTAGAATTTAACGGTTCATAACAAGGCAATATTGATTTTTGGAACTTGAACTGGATGGCAGAGAGGTAGATATTTTCATTTCTGAAATTGTGGAGACATTATTCGATCTATGATGCATTATATATGTATATCGGTAATTATATGGATGTAGCGAATTACAGCTCACCTTTGGCAGCTCAGTGGGCGACAATGAATGCATAATGGTCACAACACAAGCGGCCTGTGATCACAGGTTAGTGACATTGGTTAAAATCTCCCTCAAGCCAATACAGAAGGTATCGGACGCATATATTAAACAAATACAAATTCAGTATTTTCTTTTTTTCATGAGAACATGTCTTTTTATAACACTGAATATGAACTGTCCAAATTATTAGTGGATGTAAGTGATTTCTGATAATCTATTAGCTAGTATGAAGGATGTTTATATTTCCTCTGAATATATAGATTCTTTTAGCAAGAAGAATGTTTTAACTTCTGAACACAGCAAAAAAGAACATGTCCCCAAAAATTCATTAATATTAATGCAAGAATATAATTAAAATGCATAAACGCAGTTCTCTATCGGTCATTTTTAATGAAAATATATAAATATATATATATATATATATATATATATATATATATATATATATATATATTTGGTTAGATAGATGTGAGTTTGTGACCCTGGGTTTCACGCTTTAGCGATCGTCAGACAAACTGATTAATGTTTTAAAAAATTGGGGTTTATGTAGATTGCGTGTATTGCTGTTATTGTGGAAGTGGTGGGGGAAACTTCGTCGTTTTGTCATTCATCGTACTAACGCAAACATCGACGTATGCAGACATATATACATACTTGGTCGTCCGTCGGGATTCATACATATATAAACATATGTGGGCAGTTTCGGCTATGACATATGTATGTATAAGGGTGGTGTTATGTCTATACATACGCATTTGTATGTTGAAATGTTGAAATTTAAAGAGTGGAAGTGTGGCGGAGATGTCTCGTTAATGTCTCATGAATGTATACATGTCATATCATGTATTTTCCGCTGAAAAATATTTCCTCGCATGTATGTATATACGTGTGGTGGGGTTTGTGTAAAATTATGAAAATTATGATAGGTAAAAATTACTATTATTTATATTTATTTTTTAATTTTTTGAAAAAAAAGGGGGTTTATTTCTTATATTTAAAGCTGGTTATGTGTTTGTTTTTGGTGACTGTGTATATGTAGCAGGTAGAAATTTGTAATCCTTATTGGATAATTTATATGGTGATGTTTAATATTCTATCCAACTAAATATGTTAGCTCTGTCTCTGATATTGAGCGCTTTCTAATAAGTACCGCGCATATAATATATAAATAATTATACATATATATATATTCATTTATATTTATATACACTTTTCACACACACACACACACACACACAGACATATATATATATATATATATATATATATATATATATATCATACTTCTAGGATGAAACAGCCTGTTGCCTCTGAGTGTTGACTTCAATGTTCAATTTTACATTTATATTTACATACGATCTTTATCTAATATTGAGCACTCTATCCCATAAATATTGCACTTTAAATCTATATTTCTGTACATATATATATATATATATATATATATATATATATATATATATATATATTGTGTGTATTTATATATATTTTCATTCATGCACGTTTCATTAAATAATATAGACAGGTGTTGTCTATTTATTTTATGTAAAATTGTTTCGTAACGTCTGATAAGTTTAGTAACGTTATCGTTGAACGAAGAAAGAAATTCACAATATTGATCCATATTTTTAATACAATCTAAGCTTTCGGCTTACATAAGCCATTATCAAAGATGTCAATTACAACATATTAAACAATATACGGACAAGACAGTGATGATAATCTGTCATTGTTTACATAGATGATTTCTAAGCAACGATAAACATGTGCATATAAGACGCTAGAAGCGAAAATCGCACCGCATCTCATGACGTCACATATGACCACACGAGAGTTGATTGGAAAAGTATGGGAAGCAGTTGGTATAAACCAATGGCTTCTGTTACCAATTATAGACATTTAAGAATATTTGTAGAGATGCCATAATTGATTTTGTTTAGGTTGGGTTAGAAACTGTTTGATGTATATATATATATATATATATATATATATATATATATATATATATATATATACTGATATCTGGGGAAAGAATTGAATAAAAAAAGGAAAGACTAAAAACAACACCGTGTGAATTACCTAAATTGATACGTAAAAGAGTTCAATGAACTAAGTAGAGCAAAATTATAATATCTAAGTAACCAGAACCTATGTACCTAAGTTTCAGCTACCGGATCGTCAGAATAATTCTGACTAAACCTTTACCAAAATGTAAGATGTCCGTTTTGTCAATAAAGAGTCGTTTCGGCCAACACTCTTTAGTCAGAATTATCCTGATGTTCCGGTAGCTGAGAACTAGGTACTAAGGTTTCTCTGTCTCTCTCTCTCTCTCTCTCTCTATATATATATATATATATATATATATATATATATATGTGTGTGTGTGTGTGTGTGTGTGTGTGTGAAAATATATAGAAAAAAGGAAAGAACTGGTTAGGTAAATAATCCAAAGATCCTTAGAATTTTAGTTATTATTTTTTTTAAATAGTGCTCGATATCTCTCTTCCATAAATATAATTATTTAAAATATGATTCAATTCATATCTTTTATCTCATGTTCTCAAAACAAGAGAACTTTATAATTATATTGAATTTTTCGGCTCTTGTTTTGAAAATATGAGGCCTCTTATGTATCGATTTGGAATCATATATTTTTTAAATAAATCTCTTTATATATATATATATATATATATATATATATATATATCAATCGACGGAGGAACCTGCATTCAAAATCGTCCATTATAAAATTGGATAATTGGTCTTTTTCATTTTGTTTCTTTGGTATTTTGAGAAAGTAATAACATTATGAAGAAAGAGATTCTTTCTGACGAATTATTAATTGAAATAGTTTAGATTTATACTAATTGTAGATTTTCATATTTTTATATATTTTGTTTAAAATCTTTTAATTCAATGCAGAAGGTATCCGTCTATATATTCAGCAAATAAAAATCTTTTTTATGTTATTTAACAGAGTGTCCTCATTTCTAACATTTGATACATGGTACGGCCCCTAAACTGAAATTCTCATAAATTTCCTCTCTATAACCCTGAGGATTGTTGTTTTTTTTTATACTGTGAATCAAACCTCCAGTATTTTGGTGGTGATGGTACTATTAACCGGTGAACTTTTCATTATTTCCTAACGAACATTTGTACCATATCATTGATTCTTGTACCCCAAGAAAGATAGATTACTTAGGGATAATGCATAGTGTAAATTGCCGCAAGAATCTTCAGGATTACTTGGCGTGGAATTCTGAAAATTTCTGACGAAGGATGTGGCCACAATATTAGCATGACATGTATACGCTGAATCATTTAACTTTGTCTATTAATATGTTAATTAATGCAAGGTTACTCACGTATCATGAAGAGCGGACAGATATCCAAACAGTATGACTTCTTCAGACTCCTTGTTGAATTGATGCCACATCAATATTTAGACTTTTTTAAACGTGATATTACCTATTTATAACTCTTTGAATTTTAGGCTATGTCATTTTTTATACCTGTACTTCAGAGACGATAAATTATTCTGATTATTATAGTTAATACGATATACTAAATCATTCCCAATAAAATTCCCAGCTTAGTTGTATTTGTGTTGTGGTGTCCTCCCTCTAAAGAGTCTATGTTGGACTCTTCTTCCAAATAGATTAGTAGGAGAGAAAGCCTTTGGAGAACAGTCGAATAGATTGTTCAACTGTCAAACTCTCTGCTTCGAGTAGAAAGGAACCCAGACGAGACTTTGCAAAAGTTTCATCCGCGGAGATAGACAGTCCCTGAACTCGTTTAGGCGGGTTCAAAGGGAATATTTTTGGTCGAGCTTGGGGCAAAAATAAGAACCCACGGTAATTTTTCGGCCTTGTGCCACATACATCCCTTTATGGGGGGGGTGAAATAAATATAACAGTCGAACAGATTTTTCTTACTGTCAAACTCTGCCTTGACAGAGAGGAACCCGGATGAGGCTTTGCCGAATGGGCAAAGTTCGTCCGGAGAGGTAGACAGTCCCTGAACCCATTTATGCAAGTTCTACGTGAATATTTTTGGCCGAACCTACCGGCTCAGAAAACCGACGTAAAACTCAGCTTTGTGCCACATACATCCCTCGTGGAGGTAGGGGGCGCTGTTAAATATTAACAGTCGAATAGATTGAATGCATGGTCCACCGACACGCTCTCACTAGTCGTGTTATACGCTTCTGTTGTACTTACTGTTTAATATATGATGTAACTGTAACACTTTTGTTATTTCTTTAACCATTTACTTGGTCACGACAATGAGGATGATTCGGACATTGTGAAGCCCAACCTAAAACTGGTGACTGTGTATCTATCAGTCAGTTGAACAGAGCCAGTTGTCTTTTTTTCATACTATATTTCACATAATACAAGGCTCAATAACTACTCAAGCTGTAGGGTTACTGAACGAAGTTTCTGTAAGGGTCGGAGTGAAAAAATGATATTTAGAGGATATTTAGGATCCATAATATTTGACCCTTGACTTGAAGAGGTTAAGATGGTATTGATCGGGAAACGCATCCTTTCAGGTGTCTGTTCAACATTGTAACCGTTTTGGGGTTGA